GCAAGTATCACATGATCCTCTCTGTAGATGGAGAAAGAACATTTGAGAAAATTTAAGTCTTTCATGTAAAATCTCTCAAACTAGGAATTGAAGGAAACTACCTCAACATAAGTCATTCATGAAAAGCCTATACTTACTCCTTACTCACACATGAAAATCTTAGTTTTTCCTTTAAGATCAGGAACAAGGCAAGGTTGCTCATTCTTACCATTTCTATTCAACATAGTACCAAAACATGTCCTAGCCAGAGCATATAGGTAAGAAAAAATAAATAAAAAGAGTACAAATCAGAAAGGAAGAAGTAATATTGTATCTGTTTATGAATGATATAATTCTATGTGTAGAAAATTCTAATGATTCCACAAAAAAAATCTGTTAAATTCAGTAAAGTTGCAGGATACAAAATCTATTCTCTTTATAAACATTAACAATGAGCTATCTGAAAAGGAAATTAACAGCCTCATTTACAATAGCATCAGAGAATAAAATACTTAGGAATAAGTTGAACAAGGTGGTGAAATACATATCCAGAAAACTATTGTATGAAACATTGATGAGAGAAATTAAAGACACAAATAAATGGGAATACTTCTTGTTTATGGGTTGGAAAATAATAATGTAGAAATGTCCATACTACCCAAAGCAATCCATAGCTTCAGTGCAACCTCTATGAAAATTCTCAATAGCAGGCCAGCTCCATGGCCTGGAGGTTAAGGCAATCAGATCCCATATGGCTGAGAATATGGTTCAAGTCCTGGACCCAGCAGCACATGTGTGTGTGTGCCCATAATACTGAAAGGGGGGAAAGGTGGAGGAAAAAGGATTACAGCATAACTAGTCTCCATAGGGGGAGGATGCTTTCTCCTCTCTCTCTCTCTCTCTCTCTCTCTCTGTGTCCCTTTCTCTCTCTAGTGAGTATATATGCTCTCTAAAATAAATAAATAAATAAAAATTTAATACCTTAATGTCATATTTTACAGAAATAGAATTTTTAAATTCATATGGACCCTGAATAGCAAAACAGTCTTGATAATCTGGAAGTATTATACTTTCTAACTTCAAAATATATTACTAAGCTACAATAATTAAACCAATATGGTATTGGCATGACGAAAGACATATAGAACAATGGAACAGAATAAACAGCCTAGAAGTAAACCCATAAATGCACACATAATCAAGTGATCACTGGCATGGGTGTCAAAGGAGAGAAGAATAGGGGGTAAGATAGACTCTAACAAATGGTGTTAAAAAATATCCGTAGGCAAGAGGATAAAATTGGACCCTTATACCACACACCAAAATCCAATTCAAAATTTAGTAAATAGCTAAACTTATGACCTGAAACTGTACATGGGAGAAAGCTTAATGACATTGGTTTGGCAAGATTTCTTGGGTATGACAGTAAAAACACAGGAAGTAAAAACAAAAATAGACACAACGGACTCTATCAGCTAAAAGATTCTGCCCAGCAAAGGAAAAAAAATTAACAGAGTAAACGACAATCTATTGAATGGGAGAAAACATCTATAAACCATATATCTGGTAAGAGATTACTACCCAATATATATGTGAGAACTTTGAAAAGTTCGTGGAGAAATGGAATTGAAGTACAAATTTACTGTGGTCTGAAAAAAAGTTGAAATCCATGCATAGCTTTTTCATGATATACCTTTTCTATGCACTTAATTATTTTTTTCCAGTAGACATATGTGCTCACTGGAAAGAGAGCGGGAAAGTGAGAAAGCACCCACCATGAGATATAAGCAACACTGCACTCTCTTCTCCTCCATCTCTTCCCTCCTTTCAGTATTTTCGGCATGCATACACGTGTGCCCAGTGTGGTTTTCAAGCCACAGATCTGAGACTTGAACCATGCAGTTGGCCATGTGAGATCATGCTACTTTAACCACCACGCCACTGGCTAGCCTTCCATGTGCTTTTAAAAGACTACTTGTACAAAAAACTCCAACAACTACATAAGAAAAAAGAAATAACCTGATTTTTTAAATTGGCAAAGAACTTGAATGGGCATTTTAACAAAGAAGACATATGAGTGATCAACAGGCATATAAAAAGATATTCAATGTCACAAATCCTTTGAGAAAAGTAAATTAAAACCACAACCAATTTGTTATCATCTCCCTTTTAGTGTGTCTATTAAATATATATTTAAAAATATTAGAGTTGGTAATGATGTAGAGAAATGATGCAGAAAGATTCAAACACTTTATACATTGTTAGTAGGAATATGAAATTGTACTGATATTGTGGAAAACAATATGGAAGTTCCTCAAAATTTATTTTTTTGAGAGGTTTTTGCTATAGGGCACATGTGCTCACCAGAAAGACAGAGAGACAGAAAGTGAGAAATCACCCTCCAGGGGGCATGGCCACGCCACAATCCCTTCTCCATTCTCCCCTCATGATCTTGGGCATGCACGCACCCGTGCCCGGCGTGAGTTTAAGCCACCGGGTCTGGGACTCGAACTGTGGTCGACTACATAGGAGTTCAGTGACATAGCCATTACACTAACTGCTGGTCCCAAAGTTCCTCAAAATATTAAAAATAGAGGGACCAGCAGATGGCATAATGGTTATGTCATTGGACTCCCAACTAATCAACCATGGTTCAAGTCTCAGACCTGGTGGCTTAAAACTTATACCAGATATGTGTGCCTGCATACCCAAGATTCTGATAGGAGAATGGAGTAGAAGTGATTGCAGCATGGCCATCCCCCCTGAGAGGTGATTTCTCCCCAAGAGATGATTAGTTGCTTTCTGTCTCTCTTTCTCTGTCTCTCTGGTGAGCACATGTGCCCTATAGCCAAACTCTCTCTCTCAAAAAAAAAAAAAATAGATCTATCATATTATCTAGAAATTCCACTTCTGGGCATTTGTCCAAAAGAATTGAAGTCAGAATCTTGAAGAGTTATTTGCATTTCTATGTTCATTGTAACCTTACTGACAACTGTGAAGATATGAAAACAAATGTTGATAGATCAATGTATAAACAGATTTGGTATGTATGTGTGTATATGTATGTATACACTTGTATATACATGTACATGTATATACATATATACACATAGTAGATTATTATTCAACCTTAAAATAGGACATTTTGCCACATGCGACAACATGGATAAACCTGGAGGACATTATGACAAATAAACTAGTCACAAAGGACAAATGCCACCTGATCCCGTTTATATGAGTATCAGAAGTAATGGAACTCATAGAAGCAGAGAGCAGAATGGTAGTTGTGAGGGTCTGGGCCAAGAGGGAGATGGGGAGTTGCTATTCAGCAGCTATAAACTTTCAGTGATGCAAGGTGGATAAGCTCTAGGGATCTGCTGTATAACATTATGTGTATAGTTAACCACACTGTATTGTAACTGAAAGATTTTTGACATTTTTAAATCTCTTCATGAGAGGAAGAGATGTCCCCCCCACCAAGGGCATCTTCACGCTGCGATTCTACCTCAGCTGGCCAGGGTCACAGGCACTTGCACGTGCACCAGATGCTGTAGAGAGAGACCTCAAGATCTCTCTTGGCCCAGGGCCCTCCACTATGGTCTCTGCATTGCAGAGCATTGTATTTCCACTGTGCCACCATGGCTGACCCATACACTTAACATTTTACAAGGGTAGGGACCAGCAGGTGGCAAAATGGTTATGTCACTGGACTCCCACATGATTGACCATGGTTTGCGTCCCAGACCCAGTGGCTTGAAACTCATGCTAGGCACATGTGCGTGTGTGCCCAGAGTCCCAAGAAGAGAATGGAGGAGAAGGGAATGCAGTGTAGACATCACCCCTGGCAGGTGAGTTCTTGCTTTGTGTCTCTGTCTTTCTCTGTCTCTCTGGCAAGCACACATACCCTATAGCAAAAAATCTCTCTTAAAAACTATTTTACAAAGGTAGATGTTACATTAAGTGTTCTTGCCATCATTTAAGAAGCAAACAAACACTATAAGCTATGGAATGCTCAGTAGAACGTGGCTGGCAATTTAGGCAGTTTTATTTTGCTGTAGGATTACTATTTACCATAACTGTAAAGCATTCTGTGAGCCTATTCTCTGAGGCCTCTGATGTAGTCCTTGTAACCAGGACTGGATTTATGCCACTGTACGATGGGATTTCGACTGTATATTAACCTTGAGAGGCATGCAAAAGGCCTAAGCCTGACCATATCTTTCTCACTCCGTGAAACTCCTGAAGTTGTCATCCCTTTGAGTCAAGGTTCTCATGCAAGCCAAATTGTTTCCATATTACCATTAGCACAGATTAAATCATCTCAGCAGCTACCAGTGAGTGTGTTTTTATATTTTGGGGGGATTTGTATTGGAACCAACTGAGGAGTAACATTAGGACACAGAGAGATTTGTGTTGGGGAAAAAGGAGAGGAAAAGGCTTTAGAAAAGACACGACTGCAGTGGAAATGTCAACAGCCAGCTTTCCTCTGGGTTCCTGGGGAGACTCCTGTGTTCACAGCACGTATTTATGCCCATAATTGCCAGTCCTTTAGAAGAAAGGCTGAGATCATGAAATGAAGTTCTTTTTTTCTTTCATTTTCTTTTCCAACCCTCCCTCTTCCCCCGTTCTTTTTCTGTAGAAGCTAGCTGTGACATGTAAATATTGCACCTGTCATCTGACCTCCTCGTAGAGCCACCCGCTGAGCAATTGCTAACTGGTGCTAAGAATTCTGAATACAGCTTATGGGGAACTGAACCTACCAGTGCGAAATAGGAAGCCAAGTATCTTATCTATAAAGTGAGAGTGTCAGTCAGATCAATCTGATGGTTTTGCTGGAAAAAAAAAAAAAAAAAGACAGACTGTCTATTTGTGAAGCATTTATATATATAAATGCTTTTCCTTTCTCCTTTGATCTCTGCGGAAGTATGTCAAATTTGAATTTGTCACAACTTCTCAGGGTGACTCTTCATTGAAATGTCACCGGCAGCCTGTGGTTGACCTTTTCTTTTTATAAATTCCAGTCAGAAACAACTAGAAGTCATTCAACAACTGCAACAAGATGCTGTCAACCAGGAAGCCATCCTCAAGAGGAAACTTCGAGAAGCTAGCCAAAGACCGGAGGACGCAAAAGAACAGGTAGGTGGTCCTCGGCTACCTTACATCTGGGGGGAGTTTCTTCACATGTCCTTAAAACCATGAAATAAAAATGGAGGAGGAACCAAAAGAACATAAAAAGGCAAAGAGGAACTGTGAAGAGCAGTCCCTAGTGACTACCAGTGAGCGGAGGAAGTACAGGGGGAGTTGTAAAAGAGGCGGTGTCAACAGCCGCTGATGAAAGAGGCAACTTTGCAGAAAGAGGCAACTTGACATATCAGGACTTCCACTGCTGTAGAAATAGCTCAGGCATACCAAGCCATGCAAACACAGAATTGCAGAAGTTCAGTAGAGGCTTATCACTTCCCTGAGAAGAAAAACACATTTTCAGTTTCGTGTGCATAATAGGAGTGAGTGCTCAATTGCTTTCTGTCCCGGCTACACTGCTAAAATCCAGTATTACCTGTATGTATCCAGGTTAAGGATCAAGATTGGGCAACCCACGCTGTCAGTGAAAAAGCTAAGTCTTTACTGCATGAATTAGAGGAAGCAGGAACAATTCCGGAACAACGGAACCTCCAGACTGTAAATACTGAGCTATCGAAGACTTGCCAGATACGTGAGCAGAAAACGAGGAAACTGAAAAGTAAGTAGCAAATATTCATTTGTGTCCTAATTCAGTTCATCCTAAGGGGGGAGTGCAGAAGGACTACGGTCGTTTATCTAGGTCACAGCTGCTGTGGTACCCCTGGATTTATTACAGTGAAAGGGTTTGAGAAGGGAATATTGTGGATCTGTCAGAGAGGTTTGCCTGGTAGCTAGATACATAGATTTAACCGTTAAATTTCCTGTTGGGTTGTTTGTTTTCAGCTGGATTCCTCTGTGACTGTTATTTCTTTTCCAATTAAACCAAACTTCTCAATATCTGTGTAGGTAAACAAGAAGAAAAAGCTTGCATGCATGATATGTGAACTTAGAGATCGTTTCATATTCTGCTCTGATTGTATTAACTTGGTTTTGCCCATCATATGGTAGAATAGGCCTCAACCCTCCGTTTTGTTTTAAGTGGTAATTTTCCAGGACTAGGCAAAATAATTACACATTCAATGTGCATTGAGTTATTATTGAATATATGTGAAGATTCTTTTCAAATTTCAATGCATTCTTTATGTACATATTTACATTTAAAAAATTAGAATAGCTATCTCTTTTTTGTATTACCTAATAGTACATAAGCATTTACTAAGAATTTATGTGAGAAGACAACTGTCAAATTATACATGTCAGATTATTCATAAACCTGTTTTATTCTAGGGACATAGTACGTTAAAAAATAAAGCTTATTGATTAACAGCTTTGTTCAGCCGGTTTCTTGTTCTGGTTATGTAAATGTTCTTTTTGTAGAAAGGTTTTGCTTTGAGTAACAAACATCTAAATATAAGTTCAAGGTAAACTAGAGTTGAAAATGTGCAGGTTTGTGTTCATTTTGGATTTATTGTACCTTTTCTACTGTTACCTAAGAAAGCTGCCTAGGAGTGTGAGTTGTCTAGTTTTAAAAGAGCAATGACTATTCAACATTTTATTGTGATGTTTTAACTTTTATGAACTTGCTGGTTTTCCATAGTTTTCTGAGTCTCAGACAAACATAAGACATGCTTGAAAGGACCTAGCCGGTGCTTTATTTTACTACTGCTTAGAGGGCATTGGAGAAAGCTCTCTTGTGATTAGGAATAATAGGCCCTGCAAACGTGGTTTAAGTCATGTCAGTTTTAGACACTGTGCTTAGAAGGCTAGTCTTCTGCTCTACTTTTACCTTCTGATTAACATTACCCCATAGTTTTATAAAGAGCTAAGAATTTATGTCCTGCCCAACCCCCGTGATTTCTTTGTGATACCTCCTTGAGAGAGTGAACATAACTTATCCTGAAGTATAATCCTTGATCATATGAACTTGCTATGGTCTTCCCTGTTTGTCATCAGGGGATAATTTATTTAAATAGTGAGAAAGACCAATGAATGCTGCATTGACTTGAATGTATATCTATGTTTTCCCTGCTTGGATAAAGCAGGGCAGCCACCTCTTTTCTGTCTTGAGTGACTCCCAACCTGCCCAGATTTATGACCCCCCCCTTACTTGCTTGTGTCTTTTGATGTCCAAAGAAAAGGCATGCATATCAGGATTTTGTAATTAAGGCCATTTGCTTCTGACGGTTTTTCTTTCTTTTTTTCCAATTATTAAAAAAGAATTATTTTATTTCATTTGTTTATTATAATTTGACCAGAGATGGAAAGAGTAAGAGAGAAAGAGAGAGAGGGAAAGTGAGAAAGTAAGCTGCCAGGTTTGGGACTTGAACCATAGTGGGCCATGTGAGAGTTCAGCGCCCTTAACCACCATGCCACCAACCAGCTCCAACTTCTGATGATTTATCCAATAATGCTCTTTAAAAAAATCAACATTTGGGAGACCAGCAGATGGTGTAATGGTTATATCACTGCACTCCCATGTAGTCGACCGCAGTTTGAGTCCCAGACCAGATGGCTTAAACTCATGCTGGGCACATGTGCATGTGTACCCAAAATCCCAAGAGGAGAATAGAGGAAAAGGGATTGTGGTGTGACCATCCCCCCTTTCGGGGTGTGTGTGTGTGTGATTTCTTGCTTTCTGTCTCTTTGGTGAGTGCACTTGCCCAATAGCAAAAATCTCTCTTAAAAAAAAAAATCAACATTTGGGAGAAGAAAGAAATTTAGGTAGCACATTTCCAAGATAGTCTACATAGAAGATGTTCTGGATAGACTTTGAACAAATGTGAGTGAGGTAAAACAGTTATCACACAAACTCATCACACGTTCTTCCATGACCACTGCCACCCCAAGCTGTTTGTATTCTGAGTCAGACATTTGAATTCTGAGTCAGAAGATAAAAATATTTAAATCCGTTTAGCTGTTCTGAAACTCCATGGCTGGCTTAATAAGTTCATCAAGTATTTAAGACACTTGATTTCTGATCCATGTAGAAAACTTCTTCAGCAGAGAGTGAGGATTCAGTTGGTTTAAATGTTTAGGCCAATGACCGTGATCACCATGTACACAAACTGAAAGAAGTTGTTTATGACACTAAATCCTGAACTTACTATTGAGTAAACAACGTTCAGATTTTCAACTGCCACCAGGACCAGACCGATTTATGAGGTAATTAGTGTGCATGTTTGCTGCTATGAAGTCTGTCACTAGAACCATGCCAGTTTGGAGTCATTACTTGTATCTTTTCTATCTCCTGCTTCTTCATGTATATGTGAGTATCTTGTTAACACAGGCAATACTGGGTTATAAATGGATGTTTGCTTTAAAAGGAATTTTAATATTTTTTTTGAGAGGTTTTTGCTATAGGGCGTGTGTGCTCGCCTGGAAGACAGAGAAAGAGAGACAGAAAGCGAGAAATCCCCCCCCCCCAGGGGGAATGGCCACGCCACAATCCCTTCTCCTCCATTTTTCTCTTGGGATCTTGGGCATGCATACACACGCACCTGGCATGAGTTTAAGCCACCAGGTCCAGGACTCAAACCGCAGTTGACTACATGGGAGATCAGTGACATAGTCATTACGCTAACTGCTGGTCCCAGGAAATTTAAATTTTTTAGGTCTAGGGTATGTGGGAAACTTAAACTAATTAATCCAAACTATCATTTCTTTACTATTCACCGTCTCTTGTCCCTATCTAACATGAAATCTTCATTGAGTCACTCATTTTTTATTATTATTACTTTTTAATTGTCTGAGGATGCATGTGCTCCCCAGAGAGTGAGACAGAGGGAGAGGGAAGGGAGAAAGCATCCCCAGTGGGGCATGGTCAATCATATGCAGTCTCTTCTCCTCCATTTCTCTATCCTGTTGGCACCCTAGCCACACAGGAACATATGCCCTGGGTGTCTCTCAAGTCACGGGGGACAGGACTCAAACTGCAGTTGACTATGGGAGGTCTGACTCCCTTAACTATTAGGCTACAAGCTGGCCCTGAGTCACTCATGTAAAAGACCTTTAGGAACCATCAATATTTGCTTGGGGGGAGATCCTGAGGAGCTCTAGTATTTTGTAATTCCTTATTTGACCATAATTATCTGCATATGAACTTCACAGTTCAGAGAAGGCTTCCATGAGATGATCTCACTGACAACTGTCTTCTAACTTGCTATTCTTAGCAGGACGGGTAGGAGATATGGGAGAGGTACCAGCCAGAAGGATTTGAGGAGGGACGAAAGATGAGAGAGAAGACCTGAGCAGTCAGTAAACGGAGCAATGAGCTAAACAAGTGAGGCAGATCCAGGTAATTGAGTTACGCAAAGGTAGAGGGTATTGGGGTGAGGGCTGAGGAGAAAGCCAAAGCCTAATAGAGCTTACTCAGTAGCTCTGATGGACTGGAGGCCCAAGTTATCCTCAATGAAAAAATGCTGGTATAGATTAAATAATCTATTTAGAAAGTTTAGTGTAATGATTAGGAGCATGGGTTTTAAAGTTAAACCTGTGTTCTGACTCAAAGATCACAGAAGAGTAGTTGGTTAAAGTTGGGCAAATCACTTAATCGCCCCAAGTCTTTCATTAAATAATGTTGTAAATTACAAACAATATAGCAAATGCAAATAGTATCAAGAGCTTGGCTATATTTGGTGTAGATATTCTTCTACATCACGTCTGTGTAACATGAATGATCTTATTTGTGATTGGTGACCGGGGAATGACATATTAATCTAACAGGGACAGTATATTGTGAGTCAGGATTTTTTGGGATAGGATCTGGATCAGTAGGAATGGATCCCATTCAGCTGGAAAGGAAAGAGCCTTCTGCTTGGCTGCTAAACAGGCAGCAGGGACCCTTTCAGCTTTGTTGTGAGAAGATTAAAAACTAGGATCCACACCTGGGCCTCTCTCCAAAAAGACCTCAGTTGCAGCCTGGCAGAGCCCTCAGCTGTGGCAGACCTTACCCCCTCCTATATTCACCTTGGCAGCCCCACTGTCTCAAAGCTCTATCTCCCTTTCCCTTTCCTTCCCTTTCCCTTTCCCTTTCCCTTCCCTTCCCTTCCCTTCCCTTCCCTTCCCTTCCCTTCCTTTCCCTTCCCTTCCCTTGCCTTCCCTTGCCTTCCCTTGCCTTGCCTTGCCTTGCCTTGCCTTGCCTTGCCTTGCCTTGCCTTGCCTTGCCTTGCCTTGCCTTCCCTTCCCTTCCCTTCCCTTCCCTTCCCTTCCCCTTCTCCTTCCCTTCCCTTTCCGTCCCCTTCCCCTTCCCCCTCCCCTTTTCTTTTTCTTGCCAAAAGGCATGTGTGTTCATCAGAAAGAGAGAGAGAAAGAGAGAGAATCCTCAATGCAGTGTGGTCACTCTGCAATCCCTGTTATGCCCCTTGGAATTTTGGATATATATATATATATATATATATATATATATATTTATATATTTATATGTATATATATATAGAGAGAGACAGACAGACAGAGACAGAGACAGACAGACAGACACACACACACACCAGGATTTGAACTGCGCTCAACCATGTGGGGTCTGGCTCCATTAACCACCAGGCTACAGGGTCAGACTCATCTGTATTTTCTTAACATCCCACTCACATTTCCTGTTAAAACATCTCCAGCATTTTCATTCCATTGTTTTTGTGCACTTCTCATATTCCGTGAGGCATTTTAAGATGCACATCTGAGGTGAACCACTTCCTAGGTACTGTAATTTCATAATTGTGTTTGTTGGTACTCTGGCTATAATGTTGCATATTTTAGTGGTTTCTTTTTCCTAACTCTCTTTATCTCGTATACCCTGTATTATTTTTGTTCCTGTAACTGTTCATTCTTTTTTCATGTGTAATTAACATGTCAGAAAATGTTCAGATCTTAAGTATTAGATAAATGCACATCAAAGCACAGATCTTTTGGCCACCCTAGAAAGTTCCCTAGTGCTACTTCCCAGTCCTTGCCCCTCCACCACTGCAAGGAGCAAGCACTGATCTGATAGGTTGATTTAGTCTGTGCTATTGTTGAATTCAGTTATATAATATGTCCTTCTTTTGTGATTGTCTTCTTTCCCTCAGCATAATATTTTTGAGATTCATCTATGTTGTGCTCATTGGTAGTATTTTTTATTATCGAGTTGTATTTCTTTCTATGACTACCCACAATTTGATTATCTTCTCTCCTATTATTAGATATCTAAACCATTTGTAATTTGGTATTATAGTGGATAAAACTGCCAGGAACATCTACACACAAGTCTATGTGGGGACTTTTTTTAAACTTGTGTTTACTTCTTCTGAGTGTGAGTAAGTGACAGTGTAAGCAATGGGTACCCTCACCAGGGTCTTCACACTATGATCCACCCAAGTCCCAATGGGCCCAGATCACAGGCACCTACCTAGTATACTCAGGGAGGTCCAAGGACATGAGCCAAGGACCTTTCTCTTGTGGGTCCAATTACATTAGTGCACAGCAACACCTGGCCCCTGGATACATGTGTTTATTTCACCTAGAGTTAAAATCTAGAAGTAGAACTGTTAGGTCATAGGATAGTAGCTCTAACTTCTGTTTTTTATACATTCAATCACTGTATATCATTACAGCTTGCAAAACGAACTTTCCCAGCACGACTATAGTGTATATAAGTCCAGTTAAAGGTATTCTCATGCACATTATTGTCAACAGATCATTTTCCATTTTTGTGTCCCTTAAAAGTTTTGCTTCTTTCTTTTTCCCTTTGAAACTTTCAAGCGATTGTCCATAGTGTTTATAGCACTTCCTACTCCCACCACCGAGTGTGGGAGTAGCAGGTGTTCCACATTTTTAATACTTGGCAGTATCACTTTTGTTTCATTTTTGCCACTCTACTGGGTGTTTCACTCTGATTTGAACTTGTGTTATTCTGATGGTTAATGATGTTGAGCCCTTGTCACGTGATGATTAGCATTGTACACTTTCTTTGTGATGTATCTAAATCCTTTGCCCATTTAAAAATTATTTTGCTTGTCCTTTTATCATTAGATATAAATCCTTCGACAGATACATGCCTTGTGAATATCTCCTTTCAGTCTGTAGTTTTTCATGAACTCTGCTATTTTCTACACACAATTTTACAGAACATGAGGATTTTTCGGTCACGAGCATATTGTGTTACAGAGGTCTGTACTCTGTAAATGTGAACCATCCTTGAGAGCCAACATTACCATTCTAATGTTAACAATTTTGGTTTTCAACAGCCAATTAATTGTGAGGTCCTTACCTGAAAGCTCATCACATAGTCATTTAGAAAGTTGCTTTATCTGTTTCTTTCAAAGGCAACATAGCCACGACACCTGGTCTCTTTCTATATCACAGATGGCAACAGCAGGGATTCCAGTGGTCATGGTTTTATTTGCTTCTGTATGAAACCTACATGTTATCTAGAGACATGCGAGTCCAACTCCAAACATAAAGAATGCAAAGGTGAATGCAAATTGGAGTCATAAGGCAGCTTGTTTTGCCATGTGGAAAGTATGGAAATAGTCGCTGCACATTACGTAAAACATCTGCTGAAATAAGGCATTCAATTTGAATGCTTGAGATAGATGGTTTCTAAAACCCAAGACTGCCTGGTGGGCAAGCAGATGGACAATTTAGACAGTCTTACACTAACTCATTATTTCTTCTGAAACACAAGCTTAGTTTGGTAATTCTAAGACAGTATTCTGTATTTGTGTTTTGGAGACACAAAAACATACAATGCAACTTCAAAAGCTTTGGTGCCTGTTTCTTTACATGGATCAGGAGGAGGACAGGGCCTTGTTTCTTACAATAGTTAACAGAGAGAGAATTTTTTTTTAAGAGGTTTTTGCTATAGGGTGAATGCATTCACCAGAAAGACAGAGAGACAGACAGTGAGAAATCACCCCCCAGGGGGGATGGCTATGCTGCAATCCCTCCTCCTTCATTTTCCTCTTGGGATCTTGGGCACACACGCACACGCGCTCCGTGTGAGTTTAAGCCACCAGGTCTGGAACTTGAACCGCTGTTGACTATATGGGAGTCCAGAGACATAGCCATTATGCTAACTGCTGGTCTCAGAGAAATAATTCTTTTAAATGTATTTCTTCCTTCCATGAGCAAAAGAGACATGAGAAAGAGCGAGAGTGATGAGGAGAGAGTATCCCCAACAGGGCCTCAGTGCCAAGACCCGCCCCCCCCCAGCCTCAGCCAGCCTGAGATCACGGGCACACATGTATCCAGTGTATTCATGGAGGTCTCTAGATGTGAACCTGGAACTGCCCTGCATGTGTCAGCCCCACAGAGTGCTGTATTTTACCACTGTACCACTGTCTGACTTCTAACACAGAGAATTTTTAGAAATTTAGTCTTAACTAGAGTTCTCAATATTAGCAAAAAAAAAATTTAAGTACTTCAGTATGTTAGAGATTTTAGAAGAAAAGTTCTCCTAGTGGACTTAGGAATACTATGTTGAGTTTAGCTGAAAAATATGTCATTTTTTGGGGGGATCAGCGGTTGGCGTAATGGCTATGTTGCTGGACTCCCATGTAGTTGACCACAGTTCGAGGTCCAGATCCTGTGGCTTAAACTCACGACGGACATGAATGCGTGTGTGCCCAAGATCCCAAGAGGAGAATGGAGGGGAAGGGATTGCGGTGTGGCCATGCCCCCTGGGGGGTGATTTCTCGCTTTCTATCTCTGTCTCTCTCTGTCTTTCTGGTGAGCACATGTGCTCTATAGCAAAAACAAAACAAAACAAAAATCCTCTCCAAAAAAAAAAAAAATGATGTAATTTTTACGAAGAAAGATTCCTATGAAATAAAAGTTTTGCATGGGTAATTTTCACCGAATTGAAGTTACAAAGTCTTTTCTCCTGAAAAAGTTTTAAAAAATTAGATTATCTATTTATTTTTACATAAAATTGATTTATTTTCAGTTCAGAATATCTTCAGGCTATTGAGATATAAAACTGTTGGTCTCGGGACCAGCAGTTAGCGTAATGGCTATGTCACTGAACTCCTGTGTAGTTGACCGTGGTTTGAGTCCTGGACCTGGTGGTTTAAACTCACACTGGGCACTTGTGCGTGCGTGCCCAAGATCCTGAGAGGAGAATGGAGGAGAAGGGATTGCGGCATGGCCATTCCCTCTGGGGGGTGATTTCTTGCTTTCTGTCTCTCTGTCTCTCTCTGTCTGATGAGTGCACATGCCCTTTAGCAAAAAAAAAAAAAAAAAAAACACCTCTCCAAAAAAAAAAAAAATCTGTAAGTCTATAAAATAAGAAGTACCAGATTTCTTTTTTTCTTTTTTTTAAGAGAGATTTTTGCTATAGGGTGCATGCAGTGAGAAATGACCTCCCAGAGGGGGTGGCCATACTGCAGTCCCATCTCCTCCATTCTCCCCTTGGGATTTTGAGCATGTATGCATGTGTGTCCTGTGTGAGTTTAAGCTGCCGGGTCCAGGAATCAAACCATGTTTGAGTATGTTGGAATCCAGTGACATAACCATTATACCATCTACTAGTCCCAGAAGTACCAGATTTCTATGTGTTTTGAACATGAGAGTATATCCTGTTGGTAATCTTCCTGGCTGTTGATGATAAAAACAATAATAGTAGCTATTAATATGCTTCCATCCTGCAGAGCTTCATACCCTCATTTAATTTTTGCTTTGACTTGTCTGTGAGGTGAGAAGGCATCGAGCTTGTGAGAATTATTAATAAATTCAGAGCACACTGTAAAGCGTGAGATTTGCCACATGAATAAAGGAGTATGGATATCAACATCTATTTTGGTTGCTGAAAAGATGAAGGTTTATTTTCTAGTTCTTGGCTATATTTCAGAGTATGGGATGTAAAGTAATATGTTACTTTGTAATTCTGGGAAGCATATTTTAATTAAGTAGAAAGACAAATATGTTTAATTTCCCTAGATGGTACAGTGAATTGAGCACTGTAGGGTGAGTCTAATCTCAGCTCCATGGTCTACCCGTTACCTTTTCAGTCCTCTGGAAGTCAGTGTCCTTACGATCTCAGATCTGCTTATAAGATCCTGAGATTCCAACAGAGGGTTTTGGAGAAAGGGTGTCTGCATTGGTAGGAGGTTAGACTGAATGACCTCAAAGATGCATCCTTGTGTTTAAGATTGAGAAATTCTATGACTCACTTCTAGAAGACAACTCACTTGCATCTACCAAAGTTAATTTTAAATACCCAAGGGCGATAGTGGTTTAGCTCTCCTAGCCTGCTTTTCCATTTTCTCTGAGTCATAAACTGAAGATGCCATTCTCGGAAGGCATTGTTTTCCCTCTTATATTTCTACAGGCCTTAGTTAAAAGTCATAAAAAGCTTCTAAAGCAATTAAATGCATTAAGAAAAAGAGGAGTTAACATTCTTCATATTGAGCTGGTTATAAATTTTCTTTGTAGCAACAAATGAATCACTTCAAAAGAAGTTAATTGAAGGGCGACTCCACAGCTTGCTGTCTCAGGTAAAAATCCTGTGATATGTTTACTTACTAGGGGAAGATGTCCACCTTGTATAAGGGTTTGAAACTAACTTACAACACAAAATATTTTCAATCATTGAATTAAAACCAATTTAGAAGAAAATGCTTTGGTGGACTTTGTTCTTGTAACACTGAAAGCACTTAACGAAGCAAGAGAGGAGAACTTACATTACTGAGTGGTCCTGGCAACATCTTCCAAAGAGAAAGCATTTCAGAACTTCCTTTGTCCAGATAATGTAATTGCAAAGAGCCAGTTTTCCAGTCTTAGGCACCTCATTCTGATAGTAAGGGTGCATCCTTCAATTTAAAAATCATATGCTAAAACTTGGGTATTTTTAAATAGCTTTTTTTTTTTTTTGAGAGGTTTTTGCTATAGGGCGCGTGCACTCGCCAGACAGACAGAGAGAGACATAGAGACAGAAAGTAAGAAATCACTCCCCAGGGAAGATGACCACTCTGCAATCCCTTCTCCTCCATTCTCCTCTCGGTATCTTGGGCACGCACGCACATGCGCCTGGCGTGAGTTTTAAGCCACCGGGTCTGGGACGTGAACCGTCGACGTGAACCGTCGACTATGTGGGAGTCCAGTGACATAGCCATTACACTAACTGCTGGTTCCCAAAAGCTTTTTTTTACATTTTAATGCCAGAATTGTGTGTGCAAGAGAGAGAGAGCACACCCCTCCCCACCCCCTCAGGACTTGGCCACCTCACAATCCTTTTCCCATCAGGATTTGGGGCACCCACATGAACCCTGCATGGTTTTCAAGCCAATGGGGCTGGGACTTGGGACTTGAACTCTGATGGACCGTATGGGGTCCAGCTCCGTCTGCACAGTGCTTAGCCATTGCTCTGTGGCACTGGCACTTGGATAGGCTTTGATGATTGCATTCTCTTTTTTCTTTCTCCTATTTGAATTAAACTTCCAATTCTCTCTGTCTGGATATCTTACAATATCCGTGGTAGTGTTAAATGCATCATCTCTCATGATACTTAGTAAATCTCCTTTTTGTTTGTAAGTGAAAAACGTAAGAGAACAGCAAGTTGGGCAATGGAGGAAAGGGAAGGAGGAAGAAAGGGAAGGAGGGAGGGAGGGAAGGAAGGAAGAAAGGAAGGAAGGGTGGGTGGGAGAGTGGAACCATGACAGTTGCATGTGTCTGTTTCTCAGGCACAACACAGACACAACTGTTTAAGTAGAGCTGGGGCGATGTGAATCATTGGTGTGGAAGACTGAGATAGTCAAGTGTCTAGAAAGTCCCCTACAATAAGCTGATCTGGGAAATTTCCAGATATAAAGATGCTTTAATCATCTCAAGAATACCAATACCATTTTCTATCCTCATACAGCTGTGGTAAAGATGATCTATCTATATCTTAGGTTAAGGCCACATTTTGTTGCTATAAAAATTTCACAGATGCCATTTTCACAATTCTGAGTTATGTCTCCAATAAGATTCTTTGGTCTCTGCCTAAAGATTTCAATGATTAAGTTCCTTATTCAATCTTTGGATTTCATTCCTAATGGAGTAATGGGGAAAATATAGTAAGAGGTTTATAATTACAAATATGTTCCCTTAAAGTAGAATATGTGACAAAGAACTGGTCAGTTTTACCCACCTGGGGTAACTCCTACCTTCTATGAAGTCTAATGTGTTTCGTCTCTTTGACGCTTTCATCATTCTTTGTCTCTACCATTTTCCCTCGACAGAGTTGTTTAGATGAAGAATTTTCACACTCCCTTCTCCTGACTTGTGCAAATACAATTCAACAGCCTCTTCAAGAAAAGTTGGTAAGTGTAAGTTTTTTGAAATTATTTAAGTGGCCATTATGAATCAATTTGTATGCTGAAATTGAAAGCTAAATCCAATATGTATTAGAAGTCTAAACTATAATGCTGTTCATGAGATTATCAATGCAGCAATAGTCTATTTTTTTTCTTTTTCATTTAAAAAAAATTGTCAGCAGGTGTGTGTGCTCACTAGAAAGAGTTGGAAAAACAGAGGGGCGAGGGAAAAAGCATCACCCCAGTTGGGTGTGTTCATACCACACTCCCTTTTCTTCCATTTCTTCATTTCATTGAGATTTTGAACACACAGGCACATGCACCCAGTGTTTTTTTTTTTTTTTTAAGAATTATTTTATTTTATTTATTGTCTTTATTTTATTTTATTGAATTTGACCAGAGAAAGCAAGCTGCCAGGTCTGGGACTCAAACCACAGTCAGCCATGTGGGAGTCCAGCCACCTTAACCACCACACTACCTGTTGGCCCCCACCCAGTGTGTTTTTATGCTGCCAAGGTCAGGATAGAAACTGCAGTGGCCATGTGAGTTCTGGCTTCCTTAATCACTAAGCTATGAGGCTTGCCCCCTATTTTTCTCCTTCTCTCTCTCTCTCACTCTCCCCCCCCCACATACACACACAATATCCTGGTTGATCCTAAGAAGAAACAATATTTAAAATTTTGTGACTGCAAGATCATGAAGAATTATATAAGCATGCCCTGCACCCATACTTTTCTCTCAAAACCTCTGTTTATATCAAAGAATCAGTTATCTGAAATCAATGTTATCATGCTTTTAAATCACTGAATGGTGATTTTAAACTAAAAGTTAGAATGTACTCATATACTGTATCTTTTGATCAAAACATGAAACCTTTTTTTACTTGACATCATGTAGTGTCTTCCTGGCTTTTCTCATGGGTTCCTTTAAGAACAATTTGCGATATTCTATCTATCTTTGGAGATATATAAGGTATAGAATGTGTTATGTTTCACTCCTTCAGACCATTAACAATACTTGTTGTTCTGTTCATAAGCAGTGTTATCACAGATTGTCCAGTGGCCAAGGAGCTAGGCTACATCAGACACCCCTCACTCTGAAACTTACGTGCTGGTCTACACCTCTGCTGGGTAAGCATAGCTAGTCACTCTCCTGCACTTACCCAGGCGGAGCTGGGGTGAGGTCCTTGCTGAAAGGGAAAATAATTAATCACAATCCTATTTGTATAGGAAGACTTGTTGATTGGGTATTTGTCCCTGAGTTCAGTCAGTCAAGATATATTTGAACATACACACCATTATATGCAAACTAAAATTTTAGTTCTGAAGTAGCTCAAACACTGGTGGGGAGACAAGACTTGGGCTCAGAGATAGCAGAGAAAATTCCATGGAAGAATTGAGAATTAAGCCAACCAACCCTTGAAAGATGGGTTGGACTCAGGAAAGCTAAAAAGCTTGTTAAAATTTGAGACCAGTAGATAGTGTAGTGGCTATGTCACTGGACTCCCACATGGCTGAATGCTGTTCAAGTCCGGGACCTGGTGGCTTGAAACTCATGCCAGGTACATGTGTGCATGCCCAAAATCCCAGAGAATGAAGGAGAAGGGATTGCAGCATGACCATCCCTCAGGGGGTAATTTCATGCTTTCTGTCTGTCTGTCTGTCTCTGTCTCTCTGGTGAGTGCATGCTCCTTATAACAAAAAAAATCTATTAAAAAAAAAGTATTCCAATGGCTGAGAATAATGTGAGCAAACAAAACAGAAATAAATAGAATACAAAAACCTCGAGTGTTTGGTGAAGAGTCAAAGCTGTACAAGTCATTTTGGAAATAAGAGGTTTTGGGCTGAGATACAATAGTATATAAGTTTGGGGAACAAAGAGTTGATTGTGGGTCATATTGTGAACCATTAGTCAAGGCCAGGCGAAGGAGAAAGAGCTTTGTCCTGTGACATGCTCAAAGTAGTGACATCTCTCAGCACAACCTGGATACAACTAAAACCAAAAGTTTATGGTTGGTTCTGAGGTTACCAAAAAATGGGATGATTATCAGGAAAAGATTAAGAAGGAAGAAAAAGAAAGTAGATCATTTAAGCTAGAGAAGGGAAAATCTACCAGTGGGTGTCCATTTTGTTCTAGCAATATAGCAGTGCTTTATAGAGATTCTTTATTCACAGTAACAGAGTTTACCACACCACCGATGGTGACAGCACTTAGAGAGAGCTTGCTGTGTGCCAGGCACAGTTCTGTGCTCTTGACACCTGTTAACTCATTTAACCCTCACCGCTTCTCTGTGAGGTCGAGGCTAATGTAATTCTCATTTTAAGGATGACAAAACAGAGCAATGTTGCATTAGTAAGCTGTCCAAGGTTATCATCTTATATGTAATTAAAGGAGGCCTAGAGCAGCTTCATTATTTACTTAAGATTACACAGCTGGTAGGAGGCAGAGCCAGAGCTGGGATTTGAACTAAAAAAAAATGATCGACTCCAAAACTTTTATATGTTTTTAAATTTATTTCTCCCAGGGAGTCATGGGAGTAAGGAGAGGCAGAAACAGGCACCCCAATAAGGTCTTCATGGTGCAAACTACTCCCAACCTCAGCCAGCCAAACTCATGGCACACGTTGTGTATACCCAGCACACAATGGGAGTCCTTGGGACACGAACCTGAGATCTTCCCCTACGGCCGCAAGGTTGCAGTGTCACTCTCCCATTATGTTGCTGCAGCTGGCCAGAGCTTATGTTTTTCTCTGTTAAAGTCTTCTGTGTCCTGGGGGTCAGCAGGTGGTGTAGTGGTTACATTGCAGGACTTACACGGGATCAACTGTGGTTCGAGTCTTGGACTCGGTGGCTTGAAACACGCCAGGCACGCATGTGTGTATGCCTAAAATCCCAAGAGGAGAACGGAGAAGAGATTGTAGTGTGGCCATCCCCATTGGAGGTGTGATATCTCACTTTCTGTTTCTCTGTCTCTCTGGCAAGTGCATGCATCCTGTAGCAAAAATCTCTTTACAAAAATGAGGTGTCCTATACTCAGAAGCACACATAACATGATATTTTCCCAAGAAGAATGGTTTATCATTCCAGCCTATTTCCTCATCACTCTTTGATGGGTTCTGACCCACTGTCTAATGCTTTTCTCTTTAGGAATCTGTGAGGTGGTTCTGTAAAGTGCCAGACAGTGAATGGTTTGGGCTTTGTAGACCACTGCATTTCTGCTGCAGCAACTAAACTCCCTGTTGTAGCGTACAAGCAGCCATGGACGATACGTGAGCAAGTGAGCATGGCTTGCTCCGGAAACAGGCAGCTGGCCGCGTTTTGTCTGCTGGTGGTAGACTGCCGACCTCTCTGGTTCCTTAGAGGGCTGAGGTTTACTGTCCTTCCCCCCTTCAAAAACAAACAAACAAACAAAAAACCACATCTGACATGTCCATTCTCATGGAACCAGGCATTAGGGGAGATTGTGTTAGAGTGTTAGTAGAATTGGGTTGATTTTTGCTTTTTTGGAAATAATCCAAGCTCTCTGGAGAGGAAGAATGTATGCTTTAATATAGTTTGAACCAAAAATGAATCTCTTCTTATTCCTTCCTACTGCAGACGCCTTGTATCTGGACAGTCTTACAGCAATTCCAAGGCTGAAACTGACACCCTTCTCATGTGTAACTAACAGTGTCTGTGCTTCACGTGAAGGGCCCCAAAATGGAGAAATAAAGGATGGTGCTTTTGATGTGACAAGACGACACAAGTGAGTGACAAGAGCAAACTGAACTTTGTTCTGCAGGGGTGGCCTATTCCCACAGCCTAACCTATTAATTGGTTAGGTTTTCATATCCCAAACTTACGTTTTATTTAACTTCCTAAAAATTTGCAATTTTAAACTAAAGAAGGCCAGCCAGTGGCATGGTGGTTAAGGCAGCTGGATTCCGTGTGGCATTAGTGCTTGAGAAACACACTGGGTATATGTGTGTGTGCTCCAAATCCTGAAAGGCAAGAGAAATGGAGATGAGACTGTGGTATGACCATTCCCTATGGGGGTGCTTTCTAACTGCCCCCCTCCACACAGTCTGCCCCCGTCTATCTTCAGATGAGCACATGCACCCTCTAGAAATTTTTTAAAAAGGCATCACTGGAGTTCCCTCGCTGTTTTTGATTTTCACAATATCTTAAAAAAATTTTAAGAATTATTTATTTATCCATTTAATTCCATTTGCTACTCTTATTATTTTATATTTTGACCAGGCAGAGACAGAGAGAGAAAGGGAAAGCAAGAAAGCAAGCTGTCAGGTCTGAGACTCAACCGCAGTCGGCCATGTGGGAACCAGTGCCCTTACCCTCCATGCCACCTGCGGGTCCTGTCTACTCTAACATTTAAATGGCATATTATCTACAATGTTTCCCTGATTTTTGGAATGTACTATATGCTGTTAAGTTGACTTAGGTTGACTTGGATCTGTTTGCTATTCCTCACAGTCAAGACAATAGACCTTTAGGAACCTCTCTCTGCCCCTGTACCCCATTGTCTTGCCATGCCTATTGTGCTCAGCTGTCTTTCAAGTATAGACTGAGCTTCCTCAGGAAAGATCTAGAACTGTCAGTGGAGTTTGTGAGAACTAGCTGCTCTAATGAAATGTCTTTTCTATTTTGAGAGTGAGGAAGCAAGACTTTGAATTGCAAATTCTTAATTTCCATGTTTGGAAGGATTGTCTGTAGTCTATAACCTCCCTCTAGAGGGGTGGGAGCTCTTTTCATTATGTGTTACTTAAGCCCTGAACTCAATTAGAAACTGGATAAAACTGGGCCTGGGAGTAGAGGAGTAGCAGCCAGGTTAGTCTGCTACCTGCCGATATTTGCTGTAGTAAGCAGCTCTACTTTCTCCTGCTAGGTGCTCAGGCCCGACAGCTCGCTCCAGCCCAAGAACAGAGCTCTCAGGCTGCAGCAGGATGAACGATGGCCTAAGTATGGAAGTGAGTACTGGAAGAGATTGCAATGCCATTTTCCATATTGCATCTTCGTCCTCTTACATGAGTATTCTTTTCCCCTTCTTCTTTCTCTCCCTCCCTCCCTTTCTCCCCTCTCCTTCGTCCTTCCTTTCCTCTCTCCCTCCCTTCCACCTTTAAGTATCATATAATAGACACTCTTATAGTGAGTTTGAGTCTGATACCACAAAAATCAAATGCATGAAGAAAAAATAACTTTTGATGTCAGAGAACGAAGATTCAGGGCCAACTCCATAGCCTAGTGGTTAAAGAAGCCAGATCCCATATGGCCAATTGCAAAGTTTGAGTCCTGACCACAGTGGCTTCAAAAACTCTCCAGGCACATGTGGGTGTGTGCCCTAAATCCTGACATGATGGAGAAATGGAGGAGAACAGATTGTGGCATGACCCTAACACATTGGGTGATGTTTTGTCCCTCCCTCCCTCCTCCTCTTCCTCTGTTTTTCTCTGGTGAGCACATGTACCCTCTGGCAATTAAAGAAAAAAAAATTAAAATTCATCCATTTAGAGAGAGTGGGAACTGCGGCTTCCTAGCTCTTGTATGATATCAACTCTAGGCTGTGTAACCAAAAGGAGACTTTGATGAAGTGTGCTGAACTTTTTGTTCAGGCAGGCTGGTTTGGTACTTAAATTCACGCATAAATGTGTGAAGTCTTCGGCCCCATTTATTCTCTAAGAATTCATGTCAAGGTTAGATAACCTTTGAGGGGCTGGCGTTTGGTCCAGGTCACAAAGCAGAGCCATGCCCACAGGGTATCCACCATCACTGGTCAGGTACCAATGCTCTTTCTCTACCCAAAAGAATCATGACTTGAGAAAGTCCCCGAGGTAAAGTCCCAGGTCATTGTGATAGGAGAGCTTCCTCGGCCTGGACCTGAGCCTGAGCAAGCCCCGAGATCCTCTCACTCAAACAGCAGATAGTTCTGTTTCAGAATCTAGGAGTTCGTAATTATTCTTCCTCTTCTCCTCTTCTTTGTCTTTTTTGAGATAGAATTCATATGCCAAACAACTCATTAATTTAAATGGCTCAGTTAAGTGTTTATTTATTTATTGGTTTGGTTTGGTTTCAATAACTTACTATAGGGCCAGAGAGAAAGTGAGAAATCACACTACAGGGGGATGGCAATGCCACAATCCCTTATCCTCCTAGGATTTTAGGCATGCATGTGCCAAGCCTGTTTTTCAAGCCACTGGGTCCAGGACTTGAACTGTGCACTTGATTATGTGGGACTCAACTGCCTTAACCATTATGCCCCTGGCTAGACCTGAAGTGGTTTTTTTTTTGTTTTTTTTTTTTTTTTGGAAAGCTTTACTTTGATTTTTCATTTCATATTATTAGGATAGTTCAGGTTTTTTTCTTTTTAAAAGTTTAATTTTATAATTTCTTATTTACATTTAATTATTGTATATCTTTGTGGGATACAATATGGTTTTTCAAAGCATGCATGCACTGTGTGATAATGAAATCAAGGGTAATACCATATGAATTGTCTTCAACAAAGAACATTACATTATATTAAGCACCTTCTATTTTTGTTCTACTTGTTTTTTGAGAGAGATATAATTTTTAATAGATTGTTGTTCTGCTATCACCACGATTAATTTTAGTTCATTCAGTTACCCCAAAAGGAAGCCCCATACCCATTGCCAGTCTATCCCTATTTCCCCCTTCTCCAAAACCTCAGGTCAAGGCGACTCCTGATCTACTGTATGTGTCCACAGGTTTACCTATTCTATACATCTCATACGGATGCAATAATAAAGTACATGACGTCTTATGTCTGGGTTTCTTTTTTGCCACTTTCATAAGGTTTTTAAGATTCATTCAGGTCATAGCATGTTATCAGTATTTCATCTTTATAGACAAATAATACTCCATCGTATGGATATACCACATTTTATTTAACCGTTCATCAGTTGGTGGGCATCTGAGTGTTTCTACTTTTTGCTTATTGTAAACAGTGCTGTTAAAAACCTTAGTGTAGAGACCAGTAGGTGGTGTGGTGGCCAACTGTGGTTCAAGTCCCATACCTGGTGGCTTGCTTTCTCACTCCCCCTCTCTCTTTATGATGAGTGCCTGTATCAAATTAAAAAATAATAATGATGATAAATAAAATTAAATCTTTTTTTTTTTGGAGAGGTTTTGGTTATAGGGCATGTGCGCTCACCAGAAAGACAGAGAGAGACAGAGAGATAGAAAGTGAGAAATCCCCCCCCCCCCCATGGGGGATGGCCATGCTGCAATCCCTTCTCTTCCATTCTCCTCTCGGGATATTGGGCACACACGCACACATGCCCAGCATGAGTTTAAGCCCCTGGGTCCGGGACTGGAACTGCGGTTGACTACATGGGAGTCCAGCAACATAGCCATTATGCTAACTGCTGGTCCCAAAATTAAATAATTCTTTTTTAAAAATAGAACCTAATGTATACATTTTTCTGTAAACATACATTTTTAATTTAGGGGGGCATATGCCTAGGAGCAGAATTACTGTATCATATGGTGACTGTCTTTAATGTTTTCAGAAACTGTAAGACAGATGCCCACCATGGTTACACTAATTTATGTTTCCACCATCAAGAGATGGGGATTCTCTACATCCTCACCAACACGTATCTATCCTTTAGTTTGTTTGTTTTGCCAGAGGGCACAAGTGCACATATAAAAGAGAGAGCAAAAAAATTTAAAAGACATGGAAAGAAACTACTCCGCAAAGGGACCTGGTCATGCCACAACCCTTTTCCCTCCAATTCTGCATTCTGTCAGGGTCCTGAGCACACACTCAGATGCCCTGTGTGCTTTTCAAGTTGATGGGTTAGGACTTGGGCCCTGGTAGTATGTGAGATCCAGCTATGTCTGCGTAGCACCTAACCACTGTTTCTATATAGTCACTGAGTGAAAAGTTAATATCTCGTTCCCTAGTGGTTAATGATGTTGAACATCTTTCCATGTGTTTCTTGGTTATTTTGGTATCTTTGGAAATATGTCTACTCAGATTTTTTTTTCATTTAAAAAATGGGGTTATATAGTCTTTTTACTACTGAGTTGTACAAGTAGTTCCTATTCTTTTTTTTATTAAACTTTATTTATTCATTCATTCATTCATTTTTAATTTAACCAGAGATGGAAAGGGAGAGAGGGAGAGAGGGGGGAGGAGGAGAGAGAGAGAGAGAGAGAAAATGAGAAAGCAAGGCACCAGGTCCAGGACTCAAATCGCAGTCAGGAGTGCCCTTAACCACCATACCACTTAACGGCCCCTCTTATTCTTTCTTTTAAGTGTGTCTATCTGACATTTTTTTCAGTGTTTAGTATCTGTTTTATTGAGGAGTTAAGAAAAGGAAAACTTACCTATTTCATTATTGGCAGTTCTTACAAAGTTTTAATAAAGGAAGTTGAACTTGGAGTTTACAAGATGTTGGGTTATTACTATTTCCCTTTTATCTGGCACTTATTTCATCAAGAAAGGGGAAGAAACATGTCAGGCATGTACCAGGCACTTTGTGAGAAAGCATTTCCACATGCCGTGTTGTGAGTCTTCTTCACAGCTTTGTTTTTTTGAGAGATTTTTATTATTGGGCACATGTGCTTTCCAGATAAAGAGAGAAAGCGAGAAATCACCTCCTGGGGGGATGGCCACACCACAATCCCTTCGCCTCTATTCTCTTCATGGAATTTCGGGCATGCAGGCTCATGCACCCAGCATGAGTTTTAAGCCGCTGGATCTGGGACTCAAACCATGGTCAATTCCATGGGAGTCCAGCAACATAAGCATTATGCCATCTGCTGGGTCCCAATGCAACTTTGAATGGTAGATATCTACTTTCTACAAATGAGGAAACTGGAGCCAGCCAGGTGGTATGGTAGTTAAGGCAGCTGGATCCCACATGGCTGACTGTGTCATCAAGTCCTAGACCTGGTGACTTGAGAAACATGCAGGGCACACGTGCATACATGCCCAAAACTCCTGAGAGAAGAATGGAGGAGAAGGGAATGGATGGTGGCATGGCTGCCCATGCTGGGGTCTAGTCTTTCTCTCTCTCTCTCTCCCTCTTTCTTTCTCTTTCTCTCTCTTTTGAGCACATGCACCCTATAGCAAATTAAAAAAAAAATGAGGCAACCAAAGTTGAAAGAGAGAAACAACTCTCCCCAAATCATTTAACTAGAAGGTAGTTTAAACTGGGATTTAAATTCAGGTTAGTCTAGCTTCAAAGGCTATGTTCTTTTCACAACCTCTCTTAGTATACTGAATTTAGATATTTCAATCATAATAATTAGTCATAGTTGAAAGTGGTATTTGGGCTAAGAAATGTGCTTCCTTGGGTAAACAAAAGGACCTCCTAATCCACTCTTGTTAGCATATGTGACAAGCTATTTTGTCCATGGTCTTCATGCCCATTAAGAAACTGGAGCTAAGAGGAATCACAATAGAAACTCTTGTTGAATGTTCCTGGGTACATGAACAGTTTCTCTGAAGGTTCTCATATTACCCTTGGTTCCACTGCTTCTGTAGTTTGTAGGAACTAGTCTGTCGGCTCTACCTTGCAGCTGATACCATCAATTCTCAACACTCCTGTTCCAGGTTTCTGCTTCACTGAAGAATCTGCAGCCTGGTAGCTGTTCTCTTCACCCCCTCACCTTTGCCCTTTGAGCAACTCCCACATACTACCCCTTCATAACCCTCACTCCACCTCTTAAGCAAATAGAACAAAACTGATTCTTTTACCATACTCTAGTCTCACATCTGACCTTCCAGAATTCTCTATACCACTGTAAGACCTGGTTTATGGTAAACATTACTTTGTAACCGGCCTAGGACCCTCTATTTTCCCTTTGGCTGCTGAAAAACAAAATCACACATGTAGAATGTCTTTCCTCCTTCGAGTTCTTCTTCAGGTTATTACATGTCTGTGATGCACTATCACTAGTGATTTATTGAGGCAAAGAACAGGATCAATTTAAAAATATC